GAGAGAGAGAGAGAGAGAGAGAGAGAGAGAGAGAGAGAGAGAGAGAGAGAGAGAGAGAGAGAGAGAGAGAGAGAGAGAGAGAGAGAGAGAGAGAGAGAGAGAGAGAGAGAGAGAGAGAGAGAGAGAGAGAGAGAGAGAGAGAGAGAGAGAGAGAGAGAGAGAGGTGCCCCGAGGAGGGAGCGGTGGGTTGGTGGCGGGGAGAGGTTGTGGACTGGGAAATGGCGCTGAACGTTTTCCGCTGAACGATGTGAGCCCGCCCGCCCGGGTATTGGCCACCTAGGGAGTCGTGCACATGAACTGGAGCTTCACCTCCACGGAATGATGACAAAGGTAAGCCCTATTGTGTTACCGCTGCTGGTGGTGGTGATGGTGGTGGTGATGGTGGTGGTGATGGTGGTGGTGATGCTGTTGGTATGGGTGTTGACCATTTCACGGTGTTGGTCATTTAACGTTGGGGTCGATTAGGGCCGCCTCAGCAGCAGCAACAGCAACAACAGCAGCAGCAACAGCGGCAGCAACAATACTGTGTAGCCCCACGGCACTGCGCTGGTGCTTCCGCTGCCGCTGTCCCTCCCTCCCTCCCCCTCCCTTCCCCTCCCTTTCACACCCCCACCAGCACCCCCTTACCCGGTAGGTGGCCCCGCGGGCTCGGGCCTGACGAATGGATTCCTGGATGCGCTCCAGGTTGCCCTCAAAGTCCATGGCCCATTGGTTGAGGTTACAGGTGGCCAGGGTGGCCAGTCGGCGGACCATGGTGGGGCCTTCTGCAGGGGGGTTGTGGGGTGTCCTTGACTGGTGTGGTTTGACCAAGGGGGAATGTGTCTGTCGCGGAGGGGATCTGGGTCTGGGTCGCCGCGCTGTTAATCGGCGAACGGGGTTGAATAGTTGGGGTGAAGTTTATGGAAATGGAGGATGAGGCTGGGTTGGTGAAGGTCGTGCGTGTGGTGTCGTGAGCGGAATTGGGATCCCCTCGTCGATGTCGCAGCGGGATGGTAGGCTGTGAAGGTTGAGGAGGAAGCTCGGTGGATTAAGGCGTAATGCAAATGTTCCTATGGAAATACGCCGGTAACGGCCGCGATTCGAGCTGTCGGCGTCCAGGGTTGTGTCGGGTTTACTTCGGAAGACTTGATCTAAAGTGACCCAAGCAGACGAGGAGATTAAGCAATTGTCTCTGTTGATTTGTCTTACAGTTCGGGTTTGGAAGGAAATCTCGGCTTCTTACGACGGAGACCGATCCCCTGTCGTGATGACGAATGCAAAAACAAAGTCGCCTGGACGCAAAGGCTTACAGATCAGACGAGCCAACATAGTACGGAATATTATCCACATTAGCTTAGAAAGTTGATATTTCACACAATCCTCATTGAGAACTCTTGCTCCTGTAACGATGCTCGCAGCTCGGGCGGGCCGCTCGTTCGCATCTTTCAGCACTAGGAGATTTGCAGCTGCTCCTCGGATGAATATCATTTCTAAACGCCAAAAGGCGTCGTCTGGGAGCACACCCGAGGCTGCAAGCTCTGAAGCTGCTGTCGCGCTGCACAATCGCGGCAAGGAGCATGCCGAGAAGCTACTGTCCTTCATCAATTATGCGTGGACGACTTTCCATGCGGTCGAGGAGGCCGCACGAAGGCTGGTCGCTGCTGGATTTACTCGCATCTCCGAGCGTGAACCCTGGTACATTTCGTGCCCTAGCAATTCCATAGCCACATCCCCGTCCTTGCCATTCTCAGGAAACCTTTCCCATCTCCTTCGCTACCAACACCTTCAGCCGTTCCTCGCCGGGGGATGCTGTCGGTTTTTGACCAGCGATTTTGCAAGGCCATAGGGCTTCTAGTTTTGGTGGGCGAGGCGGGCGAGTGGGCCCCCTGCCCCCAGCACGTTGACTACCCCAGGGCTTCCCACTTCTCAATTACACATCTGGTGTGTTGCTGTCCACACCTCCCCCCCCGGACGAATGGCTAAATAGACAAATGGCTAAGGAGGGATTCTCCTCCACCAGCCTCACCTCCCACCCGCAGCCGCGGTCTTTCCCCTCCACCGGCACCGCCGACCGGCCGCTACCACAACCTGCCCCTCCCCCTTCCCCCCCCGTACTCCCCAAGGTCCGTACAGCCCGGCGGCCGCTACTTCTTCACTCGTAACATGTCCACAGTGGTGGCCTTCGCAGTGGGGACCAAGTTCCAACCAGGTGCGTGTGCGAATGCTGTGTGTTTTAGGGGGTTTTGGGTTGTGTGTGTATTGGGGGGGGGACGCGGAGGGGCCAGGGGAGGGAAGAGGGGTAAGAGGAGGGGGTTTGGGTGCTGGACGTGCAGTTGCACGCACGCTCGCAGAGCTGGGTGGCATCTTCACTTGTTGGCTTCTTCCTTCCCGCCCTAGGACCTCATTACGAGTGAATACAACCTTGTTCTGCTGTGTACGGCTGCGGCTGCGGCTGATTCCTCCGGAATCACTTACATCAGTTGCTTTCTTGAACTTTAGGGTTTGTGCGAGCGTCCTTTCCCCCCCGGCCCCTCTCCTCCCTTCTCCCTCCCCCACTCCCCCACTCACCCACCCCCCCACCCCCCACCCACCCAAGGCAACGGCTTCTACATGGTGGGGGCGCACACGGACTCACCCTGTCTTAAACTCAAACCAGTGACCGCATCCAACAAAAGCGGGTACAACATGGTACGACACTGTACGACCCCTGAATGAATGCTTGCCGTACTATACCTTGCTGTTATTACGCCGACCGTAGGTGGCTTTTATAGGGATGCATGGATAGCTGGTACGGGGCTGTGTGGTGGGGTACGGCACCTTCGGAGCGAACCCTTATTCGGTTCCAATGAGGAAGGGGCTTGGGTTGCAGCGGGTGGGGTGGGGTGGGGTTGAGAGGTGTGTTTGTTCCCCCTGGGAATCCCCCTGTGCCGTGTCAGCCCACACACACTGAATCCCTTAGACCTTATGCCACCCACACCCACACCCACACCCATACCCATACCCAACGGCGCTCTTTGCTTGACTTTTGCGTGTCGTGTATAGTTACCCGGCGAGGCCCCCCTCCCCCGTGTCCCCCGCCTGACCCGCTTTCCCCCCCGGAGATTAACGTGGAGACGTACGGCGGTGGCTTGTGGTACACCTGGTACGACAGAGACTTAGGTCTCGCGGGCCGGGTGCTGCTGCGGGAGGACCCCGCGGGTACGGCAGTTGGCGGTGGCAGTAGCTTGAAGCACCGGCTGGTCAAGATCGACCGACCGCTGATGCGGATCCCCATGCTGGTGTGTGTGTGTACGGGGGGGGGTTTGGGGGGTTAAGGGGGAGGGGTTGGGGATTCTGTGTGTGTTTTGGGGGTTGGGAGTATAACTCGGTGGCGGATGGGTGGGAAACCCCAGGAAGAGAGGAAAAGGAACTCAGACTCCTTCCTTGGCCCTTGGTGAGGGGTGTAGCAGTGTATGTATATATGTTGTTACAGGGTGGTTAAGCTTCACCAGCGGCCCCCTTTCCCGAGGCAGTTCCCTGCTCTCCCCTGCTAGAGGGACACCCTAATCCATTCACCCCATCCGACTTCAGAATGTATTCGTTGGGTTCAGCAACTCACCACCAGCATCCAACCAAATCTAGCGGATCAACGGCGCATCAACTTAGTTCCTGGTCAGCTCGCAAGTTGATTTTATCACGTCCTACATCGTCCATATGATGTGGGGCCACCTCCCATTTCATCACTCCTCAAACACCCGAGGAGCCGGCAGGCGGATTTGAACCCGGGTCGGCCGGGAGCAGAAGTCAGGCCTTAACCTTTGCCAGCCATTTGCCTGTGCGTATGTATGTATGTTTGTATGTATGTTGGGGAGGGAAAAGGGTGGGAGTGTTTTGGATAGTGCTTTGGTCGTCGTCGTTGTGGTAGCTCCCTCTATCCCTCCTCCCTTTCCCACACAGTCTCTCTCCCCCTACCCCCTATCCCCTACCCGCTACCACCCACCCCCTACCACCCCCCCCCCGCCACCCCCCCCCCCATCCTCACACCCCACCCCCACCCCAGGCCATCCACCTGCAAAGGGACATCCACACCGCCGGCTTCAAACCCAACCTCCAAACCAACTTCGCGCCGCTCCTCGCCACGGCAGTGAAGACCCAGATCCTGGGTGAGACCGCCGCCGCCGCCGCCGCCTCCGGCCACCGCCACTCCCCGCTGCTGCTGTCCCTGTTGGCTTCGGAGCTGGGCTGCCCCCCCGAGGCCATCGTGGACTTCGAGATGCATCTGGTGGACGTTCAACCCGGGGTGTTGGGGGGGGCGCACGGGGAGTTTGTGTTTGCGGGCCGACTGGACAACTTGGCCATGTCGTACGTGGCGCTGCAGGTACGAATGTACGGCAGTACGAAAGGCAATTGTTTGAGAACATATCGATGAAGTTGAGTGAAAATGAAAACGCCATCCTGGTGTGGAATGAAGGGGACTTTGTTTCGCCAATGCGCACGATTATCGACTACCTACCAAAACCCTCAGCCAGTTATGTTTCCCCCCTAGTGCCCCGCGTCCACCACTGCCTCACCCCCCCGTCCCTCTTGACATGATATCCATTTCTTCCCAACCCCCCAAACCCCCCAACCCAACCCCC